TACTGAGACATCCTGGAAAACAAGAGGACAGAATACACCGCTAAAACTGCAGAGTTCCGATGATACCTGAATTTCGTGGTTTGCCTATATATAATTATTCATGAATCTTGTGCATACTATGTGCACACACAATGTTCCCGTTCCCCATAGTCTTTTTTTTTTAATGTTTTACTGGCAGCCGCATGTTTTATAATACGAAAGAGTACAATACATAAGTAATCAGGAAATTCTAAAACACGTGCCAAAAAGAGTTCATCTTCACTTTATTTACTGAAAGTTTGGTTTAATTAGTGTCTATATGGCCCAACTCAAGTTATATAGCTAAAAAGAAAATGTTCATTGGGCAGAGAGAGACCCATCGGGCCGGCACGGTACGTATCCGCAGGGGGGGACCCATGGGGCCTGCCCCACTCCTCCCAAACCTTCCATTTGGTGGGGCCTCCTCTCCCCCCTCCCCCTCATAAAGCATTTTGTCATGGGCGAATCAAAATCCTGGCTGTGTGCCTGCCATCGGCTATGTTTGCGGAAAAAAGTATTTTCCCGTGCTCAAAACATAAAACTTTAGTATATGACACCTTTAATTTCTCCACTAAGCATACTGTTTAACCTGATAGATGCCCACTTAATAGATTCCATGTTCTCTATGATCCTCATCTGAAATGGTCCAATAGAAATTCCCAGTCGACCATTAAAAGTTCTCGATCTGAAATGCATTTCATTTGACCAATGAAGCTTTCAGTCTAACCAGTACAACTTTTTATTGATCCTATTGAAGGACCAATAGGCACTTGTATGGGACCGGAAAATATTCGTGTTGTTCCCATAGAAGTTTCTACGTGTCCCATAAAAGTTCCTAATGGTACAAGAGAAGTCTGTATTGGTACGATATAACTTTTTATCGGCCCAGTAGAAATGCCCATTGGTATGATGAAATCCTATTGGTCCCATAAAAATCTCTACTGGTCCCATAGAAACTTTTTGCTAGTGTGTGCTAATTTGGCAATTGAGCATTGTCACTGCCATACTGCACCGAGTTCGCTTCTCTGCAGTGCATGGCTCATTGCTATCTCCCGCACAATGGCTCTGCCACATAGCGCCACTGGCTGCAATGAGCGGCAATGAGCAAACTGATTGTCGTGCACATTGACACAATTGGCATCGTGGCGCTTACCCCCTAAAGTTGACTTTCCCTCGACCTATACTTTTGCCTTCCCCCGTGCTGCGGCTTCTCTGCAGCATTTCCAGTTGCACCAATGTGCAAAACATAGGATATTCTCATCGGCGCCAATTGCACATTCATGCTCATAGGTTTTGGCTGTGCATTTCAATTGGAAAAGGCCTGCCATTTCCAGCAGGGATGTACTTCGCGCGGAACACGCGGGTCCGCAGCATGCCGCCTCGGGCGTCCGAAAGCAGTGCACTGCCCTTGCTGTTGTCCATGAAAGGTATTCGCTTCACCTCCTGTTTCTCTCTGGCATACAGGGCCAGCGCTGGCTTCAGACGTGCCGCTTCCACCCATCGCCGCGTCTCGCTCTCGATCACCCTCGTGCGGATGCTCTGCTGCAGTTCCGGCTGCTCCGCGGCTGGGTAGAGGAGTGGGCCGTTGACCTCGTATCGCTGTTCCAGCTGGCGCGTCCGTCGCACCCACCGGGTTGGGACGGACCGAAGATGTACATACTTGAAAACCTGTCTGGCCCAGCGCTCTTCGCTCATCCGGCTGAGGCGTCGCTCGAAGTCCAGCTTGGCTCGGGCCTCCCTGGCCTCAAAACCGGACCAGCCCATGTCTCCTTGGACGGCTTCGTTCGGTGCTGTTCGGCTTGCTCCCAGTGCCGACCTTCCCACCTCCCTCTGACGGACCTCGAGGTATTGCCTGGTACCTGATGACAGGCACAACACTGAGTTGCCAAAAGTGAGCCCCGGCACCGCCACCATCTTCCAGACCGCTCGGGTTACCTCGTATCGGTTATATCCCCAGAGGGCCCTGGCCGTTGCTATGCCCTTGTTCTTCCTGCCCTTCGCCTTGACCTTCGTCTCGTGCTCTAGGAGGTAGTGGTGTCCCTTCTGTAGGTTTACACCCAGATATTTGTAGTGGTCCACCCAAGGTACAGGATTGGCTTGAATGGACAGGTTGGCGGTCCCGTTTTCCTCTGCTGCCCCAAAGGCCATCAGCCCAGATTTGTGCGGACTGAAGCTAAGCCCCAGGGCCTCTCCCATTGCACCACACTCGTTCATGAGCCCCTGCAGGCCCTGCAGCGAGTCCGCCATCAGCACCATATCGTCGGCGTAGATGAGTCCCGGGAGTTTTCCTCCCTTCCTTTCCCCGCCTTCCGAATATTCCAGTGAGAAACCCTCCCCACTCGCCTGCAGCCGCTTTTCGATTCCTGCTATGTACAGCATAAACAATAGCGGCGACAGCGGGCAGCCCTGTCTCAAGCCCTTGGAGCAGGTCACTGGATGTGTTGTCTCCTGCTGCCACTGTGCCACCACCGTCGTCCCTCTGTACACTTCTCGCAAGAGGTCTATCCACTCTCTGCAGAGTCCCCGCTCTGCCAGCTGCGTCCACAGTTTTCGATGTTCGACCGTGTCGTAAGCCTTGCTGATATCGAGAAAACAGAGGTAAAGGGGGCGGTTCTCCTTCTGGGCAATCTCGATGGCCTGCGTCAGCACGAATAAATTGTCCTCAAGGCGTCTCCCCCACCGGAACCCATTCTGCAGCTCCCCCAGGACTCCTTCTGCCTCTGCCCATGTCTGCAGTCGGTCTCGTATTATTTGTGTGAACACGCGGTAGAGTACCGATGTGATGGCTATGGGGCGGTAGTTTCCGAGCGTTGACTTTTGCCCTTTTCCCTTGTAGATGAGTCTGAGTCTTGAGGTTCGCCACTCCTCCGGCACCCATCGCTCCTTCAGGATCTGGTTGAGGATCTCGCGCAGCAGTGCTCTCGTCTCTGGCCCCAGCTCCTTCAGCAGCCTCATTGGGATTTCGTCCATTCCAGTGGCTGTGGTTCCTCCTATCCTCTTGACTGCTCTATTTAACTCCCTCTCCGTGATTTCCTCTCTGCTCGGTTGCTCCTGCAGTTCGTCCTCCGTCTCCCCCTCCTCACTGTCCATTTGTCGGCTGTCCCCTGTGAACATGTCCCCTATCCACCTCTCAATGTACCGGTTGGTCTCTCCAGGGTCCAGTTCCTTTCCCGTTGCATCGTCTTTGATTACAGCATCCTCCCTGGGTCGACCTGTTTGGCCCTGTACATGTCGCCAGAACTTCAGTGGGGCCTCACGTCCTGCCTCTCTCAGTTCTTGCAAAAATCTCTTATCTACCTTGGCCATTTTGCTTTGAATCAAAGCTGTCACCTCTATTTTCCTGCTCTGGTACTCCCTCCATTCTCTTGAATCTTTCTGTAGGGGGGCTTTCTTCTCCTCCTTTCGTTTTCTGATGGTCCCTCGCAGAGTCCTGTTTGCCAGTTGCCTTCTTGTAATAGCCTCCTTCACCTCCACATCCCACCATCGTTTTCTCCTCCTCTTCCCTTGTGTCGGTCGTTTCAGTTTTTCCAGGTGGTCCTTCCACCACCTCATGAGGTTCCCGTACGTCTCCACCTGCCTGGTTTCCACCTCTTCCTCCAGTTTCTGCGCAATGGTTTGTGCTTCTGCTTGCGTTATGTGGTGTGGTCTCATAGGTTCGCTGACTCTCTTTTCCGTCGGCTTTCCTCCGAAAGTGATCAGCAATCTGTTGTGATCACTTCCCAAGCTCTTGTCGCCTTCCTCGTCTATCTCCATGTAGTTCAGTTTTTCATACAGGTCCGGGGACACCAGGCAATAATCGATTGTAGAGCTCATCCCTCTGGCCGTCCATGTCGTCTTTCCTATGCATTTATCTTGTGTGTTGACGATTACCATATCCAGGTGTTCCGCCATGTCCTGCAGCAGCTTTCCATTTCCGTCTGTTCTCCCATCAAACTCCTCGAGGTGTGCGTTGAAATCGCCTACCATAATGGTAGGTCTCCCAATGTTATGATAGTCTTTTTCAATGCACTTGATTAGCTTGATGTTTGTCTCCCTGCTGTCAGCCCCCGTCCACAGGTACACCACTGCCACTGCCACCTTTCTCCCCGCCAGTGTCCCCGTCAACCACATGTGCTCTCTGCACTCTGGACTTTCTCTCTGCCAGCCTGGCCCGCTAAAGCATCCTACCCCCCCTCCCCTTCTCTCACTGTCCTTTCTGTTTGCCCCATCCCAAAAAAGCCCCTCGCAATCTGGGGGTCTTTCTTCATCCCTGAGGTGGGTTTCTGTGACTGCGAACATTCCAATCTTATCATCTTGTAACATCTGAAAGGCCTCTTCCCATTTTCCTGCTTTCCTTCCTCCTTTTAGGTTTAAAAAGGCAATCTTCACTTCCCTCTTTTTCTTTTTTGCTCGTCTGTTTTTCCTTCTTTCCCGGTCTGGTGCCTTTTTGTGTTTTCCGCCTCTCGTGTTGTTGCAGGCACCATCCCTCCTACTTTCTCTTCTTAGTGGGCATGTCCCTGTGGGGGACACATCCTCTGGAGTTGTTCCTCGAGTCGCTGTAGTCTCTGGTCCAGAGTCAGCCTGCCTTCCATTCTTTCCTGTCGCCTTTTCATCGGTGTCACGCTTTTCCCCTTGCATTTCAGTCCTAAAAAACTCTTTAGTCTGTTACCCAGTGCTTGTCCCTCTTCAATTGCCGCATCTCTGTTGTAGCAGCCATCTTCCATGTCGTTTCCCGTTCCTGTGTTCTTTACCATCTCCACCCTCGGTCCCAGCTGCTGGCTGATCTCTCTTGATAGCCTGTTCCACTTGGCGCACCTCTCTTTAAGTGGGTCCCCCTTGTCTTTGATTTCTGGGACTTCATACACCATAAAAGAATGTTTCGGGGCTCTCGTGGTCCAGTCCTCAAGCCGTTTCCCTAGCTCCGCTGCCATTTCTTCCACCGATTCTTCGCCTTGCACGTCTGTCACTCCCGCATGTATGACCACCACTCCTGCCTCTGCATTTCATATTTTCCCATCCCTCTCTGCTCTCTCGAGTGACTCTCTCAGTTGTGCTCCCGGCTTAGTTGCAAAGTGAACTTTCTTGTCGTAATCTACCACCTTCAGTGTGGCTCTCTTTATCTTGAAGGCATTGGTGTCCCCTACCACTAAGACTCTCTTGTCCACCTTCTTCTCTTTGTCCTGTTCCTTTGTCCCGTCATCTGGGTCTGCTCTCTGCCTCATGAGGGCCTCCTTGTAGTTCCTGTGCTGGCTTCTTTGTGTTTGGCCTCCAGTCGTCTGTCTTCCCTGCTCCTCATCCAGATCTCCACTTCCCGTCCGTTCTTGGGAAAAGCTAACTGTCTCTTTCCCGTCCGTGTGGTATGTCTTCTTTTCTTTAACCCCGTTTCTCGGTTCCAGCTGTTGCGGCGCGTTTTCAGCCCCGTTGACCGTCATTTGCTCTGGTTCACATGACTTCATCCAGTCATTAAACACCTCCCCTAATTTTTCTCTCTTGTTCCTTTCGTCCTGCATTATTGCTTTCAGTTTCTCTTCCGTCGCTATTCTCAAGGTTCTCTCTTCTTCGAGCTTCGCCAACATCCTACTTTCTATGGCCGCTCTCTCTGCCTTTGCCTCCTCCAGCTTCACTCTCATTGCCTCTCTCAAGGCATTAACTTGCCGTTCGATCTCCTCCTCCAAGGTGATTCTTCTCACCTCATTTTCCTTGCACTCCTTACATTTGTATGTACTGTTCTCCGCCTCCGTGCATGATTCGAACGGTGTCTCGCTGATATCCACCCATTTCTCACATCCTTCGCACTCCACTGACGCCTTGTCTCGCTTTCCCCTCTTCTTTGCCTTTTCCATTTGACTGGTTGTCATTGTTTTCCTCCGTGGAGTCATGATGTTAGGTGTCTCCCTTGCCTGGTTTCCGAGACGTCCCAGCCACCACCGCCAGGTTCCGTCGTTTAGCCGCGCCCCGACACGCCGTGTCGAGAAAACACTTGCGCCCTACGCCCGGTTGGTAGGCCTAACGGGTCGTTGAGCGCTCCGGAGGAAGGGCTTCTTGATCGCCCCCACGGTAACGGCTCCGCGCCGAAACCAAGTGGTCCGCTGGTAGCGGCCTCGGTATGCCTATACACCTTCTGGGAGATATCCGTCGCACTGCCACCTTTACACTAATCGGCAAAAAAACATTTTACCCCGACGGTTTCAAATCGCCGCCGTCGCGCCGACATCATCTGGTTACTCACTTTGACGCAAATGAAATGAAGTTCAGGGTGGATTGGATTGGCTTGTAAGAGACTTTGTTTCGAGGTGCATAATAAATGCGGAAATAAAAAGTTAACGTGAAATTATTCGTAAAACAGTTACGAAAAAAAACAATAAAACGTTTTAACAAACTTGAAAAACCAAAACAAATGTATTAAAATAAAAGTTTTATATGCGATACGAAAGTTCGCTTAGCCACACAATACGACGGGATTTTAGTTTCGGTTTGGAATCGGAGGCTGCGTATTTTCGACACCGATTGGATATCCAGGGGGCGTGGATCACGGACGTAAAAATAGCAGCTTTTATTTTGACATCTTAGTTATTTTTACGTCAACAACTCGTTTTCTTTGGATGCCGCTGACTGCATTGTGTAATGTCGGTCGCTCGGCGTGTGTGTGACCGGGTGGTCGGCTCGGCGGCTCGGCGGTGTCCGCGCTGGTGCGTGTTGTCAACATTGCCGCCTGTACTCCTCGCGTTCTTAGGAACATCAAAATAAGCGTTCTCCATTTTCAAACTCCGCCCGGTGCCGTCCGTCACTCCTGTTGCAAATGAAGATTACGTGTACTGGAGGCGACAGAGCCCAGCCGCAGTAACTTTGAACGCACTTTTCTGGAGCTGTACTTGTGTGCAGTACGACGGATTGTCACCCTTGCATAGAATAGCTGCGAAGGCCGAGCAAGCAGCGGGCGAGTAGCCTTGACTACCATGACGGCACCCGCTGCAGGAGCGCTCGTGGCGCGCGATCCAAAGCAACGAGCTCGCGCTTTTAGCACTGTCGTCGACATTTTTTTTTTCAGTGTTAGTCGTAAAAAGAAATGTCGTAAATATCGCCAAATGTCCCAACAAGACAAATTTTCGAAAAAAAAAAAGGCGGCCGAGGTTGGGGTTTTTAAGGGTTTATTTGTTTGCCCGTTTTTTGCGCCCCCCTTTGAGTACTGTCGCATTTTTTTTTGTATTATTTTCAAGTTTATTTTTTGTTGGTTTTACCTCGGATATTATTTGCATAAGCATTTTTGAGCTGACTTCGCACCTGTTGATATTGTCATGATGGATTCGGGAGCCCATATTCGGGTCTTATAAATTTTGAGCCATTCTAATTTCAACTCAATGTAAATAATTTAGGAAAAAATGAAACGTTTGTCTGTAAATATGGTTGTATTAGCGCGTGTGGATGTAGATTGTAGTCATATATTAACACTATTAAAATATTCAGATATGGCTAATTGTCACATTTTTATTTGCCTGGCTAAGAAAAGTATGTCAACCAATTTTATTTTAGTGATCTGGCATCTTCGAGTATATAAACTATTTTATTATTATTTATTGAAAATATAAGAACGTAGGATTTCATTATCCCAAATTGTTAAGATTTCTCATTAATTTAAGAAAATTCACAAAAAAATGTACAATTCGTGATATATATTCGGCGATTCAAACATTTGGGCAAGGAATGAAGAAATGCGTTGCATTCTTAACATGTTGTTTGAAGTTATATAGACGAAAATGGTCGCTCCCAGAAATAAGCAATGTAAAGTAATTGCATTACTTTTTGATGTAATTTGTAATTGTAATGAGTTATTTTTTACATAGTAGTAGTTGTAATTAAGGTTAAACTACTTTTGGAGCAAAATGATTGTAATTGTAATTAAATTACATTTTGGAAGAAATTTACCATGTATGGTTTTCTTCAATTTGCCGCGGAACACAAGAGCCAGTTGAACCTCTAGCGTATATTATAACTATGGTTTGTACTTAAAGTTTGATTTACTTGTAGCAGAAATTGGCCGGTATTGCACTGCCACTGGGGGCGCTAGATTGACAATAGGATGAGTATAAAAAGACGATACCCGAATTCTGTATGGACACCTGCCAATAAAAAGACGCTAAAGGGTTCTTTCGCCATTTGATTGTCACTTTAGCGTCTACCACGTCATTGCAAAACTTCAATAAAGGGGTGATACCGTGTTCATAAATTTCAAGCGAGAGCAATCGAATGGCGATAGGGGCAATAGGATGTCAGTCAGATGTATATTGAATGGCGGAAGCCATTTTTATAGGGGCAGAGTGGGCCGTTTATAACGAAAAATACAGCCACCAGGCTCAAAATACAAACGTGCAATTGTCTTTTACGGATATTGTGGATCATATTCAACCTATTTTTGAGCACGACGGGAATATTTCAAATTTTGTTGAAGTATCCCTTTAAGCGTCATCCCAGCAATCACCCCCTTCCCCGGCCCAGTGATATTTACAGAAATGCATTGGCTTAAAAGGGACAGAATCACTTTTTTTTTTTGTTTTTACGCTAGGTGGCACAAGCTAATGCCTGTTACAAGGGGTACAACCATTAACATTTATCCTTCCACTCATCCAGATTTTGACCAAACATGTAAACATTGTATTCTTATATACATAAACAAAGGCGAAACTTCCTCTACCTAAGAGTACTTCCTACTGGACTGCACTTTGTGTTTCAATTACCAAGAAAGAGCAGCGCGTCTCTGAAGCTTTTCTTTATGTAGAATCAGAAGGGGTGTGTCAAAATGATACACCATGGATCAGTGAGTGTACCTAGACCATATGAGGCCATCAATAAGCAGAGCTGCCCATTGGGCCTCTGTGCTGAAAGTTATGTGTCCCCATGCGACAGTGCATTGGAAACCCAGTCATTTACACGGGAGACACTCAACAAAGTTGGAAACAAATCAACTGAGGCCATTGTAATTATTTTGTTAATGGGAAGTGAGTGCGTGCACCAGCTCACGTCGCTTCGTTAACTGCCCAAGTGTCGTGACAGTTCAAACTGGTCAAATGTTACCACCAGCAACTCGACAGGCATTCGGCGGGTTGGCTGTTTGTCAAGCAACCTTGCGCCCCGATGTGATCTCCGTTTTTAAGAATGGAGATCCGTTCTTGCACTGCCGAGTTGTACTGATGCTTCTTTTGCCGTGTCTTTTTGCTCAGTTTTTAGCTGTTCCAGCAGGCAATATGCGCTTGTTCGTAAGTCCTCTTCGACATGAACTTACGAACTAGCAATATGTTAGTTCTCAAGTTGTCTTTGTTGATCCTGCATGAAGATTATTGACTCCCCGCTCGCTCAAGTGCATTGTGGTGCCGAAGGTGGCATTCACTGGAGGCCATAGTTTAGTCAGTTCCTGCTCAGCGCGAGCTTACGATCAGCTTTCACAACGCTTCCACAACATGCATGGCACACCACAAAGATCGTAGTCCTTCTCAGAAGAGAAGTGGGGGCTCGTTCTGACGCCTGCTTTTGTCGTGGAAAACTCTTTTCTGCCGGCAACTTTATGGACGTGTATCATTATTTGCTACAAATGTTTGATATCTGCAAAAGCAAAGCAGTAAAACAGCAGTAGCATCTTACCTGACTGATTGGAACTGCTATTTAAATTAGGCCTGTCGCATGTTTTGCAGTATCGCAATAGACCATTTGCTATATTACCCAAGCATCAAGGAGAATGCAGGGATTTCTCTTCCATGTGCCACACGCCTTGCCCGTATAAAAGATTCAAAGTAGATAATCAAAATAAAGCGTTCACGATTGCACGTGCAAGATACAATTTGTTTTAGGTTTTTGCTTTAGAAAATTCACTACTGCTGAGGCCAGCACGTGCGGCACGTGGAACACCAATCCCTGCATTCTCCTTGATGCTTGGGTAATATAGCAAAAGGTCTATACAAACTTCGCAAAACACAATGGCCATGCCGTTGATTGCAAGGGTTGCCATCATGCTCGAGCCGGTAGTTCGGTTTCGCCGTAGACCCCCTCTCCCGTTCTCCTCCTCCCCCGTCCCCCCTCCCCTTCCTTCCTTCCTCTTCTTCTTCCCCCTTCTTCTTCTTCTTCTTCTTCTTCTTCTTCTTCTTCTTCTTCTTCTTCTTCTTCTTCTTCTTCTTCTTCTTCTTCTTCTTCCCCCCCCCCGGAGACAAGATTTGAGACAGGAAATCAACAAAACTGCAGAACGCATTGATAGAAACTGTCCCCTCGTAATTCAGGAACACTCCCTTCACTAAAAACCATCGCAACCCTGAAATTGAGATGATGTGCTGGAATTACGCTTGCGTGCTTGCGCCGCCAAAGAGCAAGCAGTGCATGTTTTCCGACGAGTGGCAACATCATGATTGCAACGTTGGCCTACAACGGCAATTTCAAGAATGATATTCACATGGAACCATTTTGTTCTTAGCCCGAGACTGAGGCAGGAAAAGAGGAAAGTTTCGAAGTAGAAGAAAAATGAACAGTCGAGGACACGTCTCTAACACAGCTAAAGACAAGTTTATTTGGTCACCTTCTTATATACACTCCACAAACTTCACCACAGCACCTTCCGGATCTCGAAAGCCAAAAGATAACAAAGGTCCCACATCTTTCCACCACAATTGTCAAACGACCTTGACTTTTCCACAAGGTCGTTTGACAATTGTGGTGGAAAGATGTGGGACCTTTGTTATCTTTTGGCTTTCGAGATCCGGAAGGTGCTGTGGTGAAGTTTGTGGAGTGTATATAAGAAGGTGACCAAATAAACTTGTCTTTAGCTGTGTTAGAGACGTGTCCTCGACTGTTCATTTTTCTTCTACTTCGAAACTTTCCTCTTTTCCTGCCTCAGTCTCGG